GTGTGTGTGTGTGCACATCGAGAGAGATGCAATGAGAGAGAAAGAGGGAACGAAGAATACTGCTGGAGCGAGCGACTCGATGGATGAGTTACATTACTTAAACCACCAATACTTGGCCCAGCTATCGGCCGCCCAAAAAACATAGGAGTAGAAACGTTTCTAGTCGGATGAATTTGGTCGCTCCTGTAGTGGCCCGTACGTTAGCTAAAATTGTGGCTTTTTTTAACAGGCACGACTTCAGGAAGTACTGGTGGTTTAAATTGCCAGATGGTTTACTTGTGTACTACTCGTTAAATCCTCATTTGGGAATTACAGGAGGGAGGTTCCACTACCGTCTTCACCCGAATAGAGCGCCCGGTCATTATAGCTGTATGTATTTGATGCATTTTTCAGTCCAGATACGGCCATAATTACCGGGCGTTCTATTCGGGTGAAGACGGTAGCCATGTCTTTGGACTAGTGTGACAGGTGGTGTACGGATTGGGGACGGGTGGTGGGAGGCAGCGTGAAATAGGGAAAATAGAAGCCAAAAATAATTTCAGCAAATATTGGTGGGTTTAATACTCGATGATGGCTGTGAGAATGAAGAAACAGAAGCGGACCGATGAAACCTACGTCCACTCGTCGTTCACCGAGTGGATGAACCGATGAAATGGATGAATGGATTAAAATCCATTTGTTAATCAATTCATCCATTCACCGATTTGATTCCGACGCAGAGCTGATGGGCATTTGGTGTTGGCGTCAACAACGCCGGCACGAGCGGAATATGAAAGAGAAGATATGAATCCGGTCTGGACCATCGGTAGAATAGAGAATGAGATTCAGAAAAAAAAAAAAAAAAAAAAAAAAAAGAGAGATGATATGATAGCAACAGAGCGACGGGAGGAGCTCCAGACGTGAAGAGTCGACAGCCTATAGGAGCATATGAAGGATAAGTAAAAAAAAGGAACGGTACACGATAGAAAAGAAGCGCTCAAGGGATGTAGCAAAAATATCACAGAATCAATATTTCGTCATCATCTTTTTTTTTTTGTTCCTCATCATCTTTTTTTTTTTTTTTTTTTCCCTCTTCTTTCTCTTAACATTTGGAAAAATAATCATTTACGGCGGGACTTGTGGAATGAGGACGGGCGTGCCTCTGTGCAGAGAGAAGATACTGGACTGCCCAGAAGGGCACTCTGTCCCACTGGGATCTCTGCCCTGTCGCTCTCACCATCTCTTCCTTCCCCACTTTCCCTTTCTCGTGCTTTTCTCTCTCCCCTTTCCATCCCTCCGTCTCTCTCTCTCTCTCTCTCTCTCTCTCTCTCTCTCTCTCTCTCTCTCTCTCTCTCTCTCTCTCTCCAGGGGGTGCATCCGGTCATTCACGACAGTCAATGCCCTCTCATGCGCCTCTCTCTCTCTCTCTCTCTCTCTCTCTCTCTCTTTTACGCACACACTCATTCTTCCCTACCCGCTCACCTTTTTCTCTTCTTCTCCATTGCCTCCCTTCCGCCTGTCCGATTCCATCTTTCAACTTGCATCCTCCATTCCCCCCCCCCCGATCTTCCCCCTGCACTCCCACATCCTCTTCTCTCCTTTTCTCTGTCTGCCCCCTCTCTCTCTTCCCGTTCTCTCCTTCGTTGGGATCCTGCTCTTCCATTACTCGGTGTAGCCCTTGCGGATCTAGTATGTCCTTTCCTCTCTTCCTGTGTCTGTCGCTCTTTCTCTCTTCATCTCTCTATTCTCCTCTCTCTCCATCACCTGCATATCCACATTGACCCTATCCCTATCTTGATTCAGCCCCTTGGTCATTATCCTGCTCTCTCCTTTCCTTACAACATGTTCCCCTCCCTCGGAGCTGAGCCCCACTTTGTCTTCCAATCTCTTCTTCCGTACCTGGTCCGGATCCCCCCACACGCCTGTTGTGCATTCCTCAACCCCGTTGCCTAGGCGTTCTTTCCCCTGCACTTCATCGGTTCCTACATCTTCACTCTGATTGGCTCATATTCAGACGTTCTCGTCCTCTAGATCCACCTTCATCTGGTCTGATGCTCGATGACGATGATGATGATGATTGATTGATTGATTGATTGATTGATTGATTGATGATGATTGATTGATTGATTGATGATGATGATTGATTGATTGATGATGATTGATTGATGATGATCTATTGATGATAATGATCTATTGTTGGTGATGATGATTGATTGATTGATTGATTGATTGATTGATTGATGATGATGATTGATTGATTGAAGATCGATTGATGATGATGATTGATTGATTGAAGATCGATTGATGATGATGATCGATTGATGATGATGATTGATTGATGATAATGATGGTTGATTGATTGATTGATTGATTGATTGATTGATTGATTGATTGATGATGATGATGGTTCATTAATTGATTGATTGATTGATTGATTGATTGATTGATTGATTGATTGATTGATGATGATGATGGTTCATTGATTGATTGATTGATGATGATGATTGGACGACGTTGAGGAATACGACAACACGAGCAGAAGGCGGAGCAGAAGAGGAGCATGTGGTTACGAGAAGAATGCCAATTCAGGAAAACGATTCCGGTTCGCATGATGACGATAATAAGGAAAAAGACGAAGACGAAGAAGAAGAAGAAAGAGAATGATGATGCAGTCGTATGATGGGGGGAAAGGGGATGGACGATGATGAAGATGGCGATGATATAAGATGCCTCTACTTGGAAAATTACCTCGCGTAATTTTTCAACTTTTTTCATAATGATCTAAGATGCCTCTACTTGCAGAATTACCTCCATTTCTGATCAAGAACAGAAAAAAGAACCTTAGACAAAAAACGTTTTCAAAACCTTCGACAAAAAACGTTTTCAAAACCTTAGACAAAAAGCTTCTTCAAGCTTTTTGGACTTTCCGTACAGTCCAAGACACCCGCGTTTTATTCTTTCCACAGTTCATCCCTACTCTTTCACTATATTCCCCTCCTCCATCTTCTCCTCCTCGTCTGCATTCCATAGCTTTTCTTCCTATCAACAAGAGCAAGTCGTTCTTACTCCTCCCGCCGCTCAATTCACTCACTGTATGCTGTTCGTCACAGGGAGATGGAGGAGGGTAATAGTCACACTATAGGTTTGAACTATAGCACCAAAAAGTTCAACACGCGGGTGTTTTAAGACTATAAGCAAAGTCCGAGAAGCGTGCAGAAGCGTTTTGTCTAAAGGTTTTCAAAACGTTTTTTTTTGTCGGTTTTTCTTCTCCTGGTCAGAAACGGAGGTCATTTTCCAAGTAGAAAGCCTCTTTCTTTTTTCTTTCTTTTTTGTTTTCTTTTCTTTTTTTTTCTTTTTTTCTTTTTTTTCTTTTTCTTTTCTTTTCTTTTTTTTCCTTTTTTTTTTTTTTTTTTTTTTTTTAAACATCGATGACGGGGTGTAGGGGGGGTGCTGATAAGATCAGACACCCCCTCTACTATCCCCGCTCGTAGAAAGCCTCTTAGATCGTCATGAAAAAAAGCAGAAAAAAACAAAAATACGGGCGAAGGGGAGGAGGAGGAGGAGGAGGAGGAGGAGGAGGAGGAGCAAGCACTCGAGTATACTGAGAACTTTCAGCAAAAGTAAGAGAGGTTTTTGGTTGATGACAGTCGAAATAGAGAGCGGAATGGGCAGTCGACGGAGTGGAGGCCAATCATCAGCTGGTCGGTAGTCGTCCGCCCGTTCCAACTAAGAACCCATTGTCGGCAGTTGATCGTATATGCGGAGGTTAATCTCTATGGGAAGTGCAGATTATTGTTGTGTGAACAGGGCTGTGCATCTGGACTGAAAGTTGCGCCAAATGCAGCTAAAATGACCGGGTGTTGTAGCGAGGAGAGCAGGTAGGACTGAACGGCAAGAGATGGACAAGCAGCAGTAAAGCATGAAGACAGGTAAACAGGGGAGGAAGGAGACAAGGGAGGTTGAGGTCGATTGTGTTTATTAGGCACTGGCAAGACACTCATAACACCAGAGCAAATCGCTGCGGATGCATCAGCTATCGAAAAGAGCACACGAAGGCGAGGCAAGTGCAGACGACCGCATGGCAGTGCGTACTTGCCACGTGGCAGGCGTATCGTCAGCGGTGCAAACAGATCTCCTCCGCAAATCAGTCTTCGAAGAAGGCAGTATCCACGTGGCTACCGATAGAGGCCAAGTGTGCACGCAGGCAAAATGATTTGATAGATAGATTGGGGCTGGAGGGAGGGAGGGGTAGATGAGGAAACTACCTGCGGATGATGATGGTGCAAAGAATGATTTGATAGATAGATTGGGGCTGGAGGGGAGGGAGGGGTAGATGAGGAAACTACTACCGCGAATGATGATGGTGCAAAAGGTAACGAATACGTGAGGGAAAGCACGAGTGTGGAAGGACATATAGAAGGACAGGTAGGAGCTTGGGTCTGCTTGACATGAGAGAGGACAGGTAGGAGAGTGGGTCTGCTATGCCCAAAGAGCGTCACTCCTCAAGAGATGATTTCGACTCGATACGCATAATACAACGAACTTGCGACGAACTTGCGCCGAACTTTCGACGAACTTGCGACGAACTTTCGACGAACTTTCGACGAACTTTCGAGGAAGGGACGAGAAACGTACGAGGAACGTACGAGTAATCTACGATGTAAAAGGAAAAAAGAGGCGCCACTAAAGGAACGAGAAAGAAACGGAGAAGATGGGCGGAAAGCAGGGATGGATGACGAGCCTCAGGGAGATATGGAGGAAGCTAGCTAACCTTGGTCGTTGCAAGCCGCGCCGGACCTCACTTGGCGCCACGATGGCAGACGGCCACAGCGTAGTGCAGTATTATCTCCCGCTGGTAGCCCGTATTCCTACTGTAGAACCCGGGTGTGCGACATTTAGGGTTGAAATCGACATTCTAGAAAGAAGAGGACATCAGGACGATATAGAGAAGGAAGATGAGCATAAGCTCAGGATGACACGCATAACTCGAGAAAAGGAAAGAAAAAGGACTCGCTGCGCCTGGGCAGCGTGGTTGGCGTCCGTAACGTGGGCTGCCGGAGGGACCTCCATCAGGCCCTTTGGGAGGGCTCACTCGTGAACGGTGAACAGGCCTGGGTGGGGACTTAGGAGGCTGTATTTTCTAAGAGGTCCGGACCAGCCCTGGACTCGAGCTGGACGAGAACTGGACTAGGTTTGGACCAGGCCTGGACCATGACTCTGAACCACGGAAGCAAGCATGTGGTGCAGAGTTTTGTTTGTGATCAATGGGTCTCAAAGTGACAGTGCGATTCTATATCTAGCACACACATGCAACTCACTCACCAGGAACGGATCTGGAGTTTGAACACTGGTCGACTCAGAAGAGAAAAATTATTCCAGGGGACGGACTTTGTGATTGACGATGTATTGGGAATATGCTCAGTACATACCTTGTTTTTTTTTTTTTTTTTCAAAAACATTCACTTCCATTTTCAAATCAACACTTGCCTCGAGGCCGGGGGTCTGGTCCCACCTGTGTTGTTGAGAAAACTCAACGCGGAGTTTTCTACGACGAGCGACAACGTTCGACAGGATGTGGCCGTCGACAGGGCTGCGATCCCACGGTTGGAAGTATTTCGAAATGTTGATGTCCTACCGGGTGATTTGAATGAATTTTTTTTTTGTACAAGGACTTCGAATGGACTCCCTCAATGGAGGGAAGGCGGCATGGGCAAGCGCCACGGAGTTGAGAAAGCTACCCTCCACGGTCGAGGGTAGGTTTCTCAACATGGTCGATGAGAAATTTTGCGATTTTTGGAATTTTTAGTCGCCGTCTGTTGTTCCCCGTTTCTCGTATACTGTGTCAGGCACTTCGTCAGTGCAATGAAAGCCGTAACTGTCGTGCGTGGGCTCTATAAGGCCTCGCTCCGTTGCTCACCACATGCACAAACAATTGCTCACCACATGCACAAACAAAAGAAAAAAGAAAGTCGATGTATGTTTCCGTGTTCTTGGCTATATTCATTGCTCTTCGGACCCACTTCGACGTCCTCGTGTTTCCACATCATGGGGCCTCGCTGCACTACTCTCGACATGCACAAAAGACAAAAATCATGGCAGTGCATCTTTCCATATTCTAGGGGAAGATTCACTCTCGTTTTGCACATTTCGAGAGTAGTGCAGCGAGGCCCATATGGTACTTCAAGATACGCAGAATCCTCGACAGAAATCACTATCTTCGCATCATTTTCTTAAAATGAATAAAAACTGCTACGAATAAATCTGAAATGCATTTTTCGGATTTAAAAAATGCGGTAAATGGTGTCACACCGTTGAGGTTTCTCAACTCAACGGCCGTAGGTGGGACCAGACCCCGGGGACCTCACAATTCAACCCGGGGTTATCCCGGCAGCATTAGCCGGTTTAGCTTACAGCCTTCAGGGCTGAGAACCATTGTGATCACTCCCTTTCTCTTCAAAACAAGACGTTTCCATGAGTGCCTACATATCCCTTACAGACACAGCACTCCCTCAGATCTATTCTTCACATACCTTTCCTGATCCCTCCTATGCAATGGATTTTATTTTGCTTCAAAACTGCCCTTCCTCCTACCTCCCCTAACTACTCCTACCTGTCTTCTAACCTATTACACAGACCTACAACCCACGGTCTGACCCCAGCCTATGTCGACCGAGCGGAACTCCGGTTCCTTTCCCATCCCCAGACACTCTCCTCCCTACCCTTCCCCAGGCACTCTCCCCCCATACCTTGTTTTCAAGTTACCTCCAAAAGTGCTCCGCGTTAACGGGCGTGGCTTTTGGGATGAACGGCCCTGGGCCGGCAGCCCCGATTCAGCCAAGTGGCTGGCGGCGGAGCACTTTTAGGAGGTACTGGTGGGTTTAAATTTTTGAATAGAAGGTAACATTGAATACAAGGTACGTACCTTGTGTTCAAATACAAGGTACATACCTTGTAATCTACGTGGGCCTTGTCTGAAATATTTATGGGCGTTTTTTTTTTTTTTTTTTTTTTTTGTAATCTACTCACGACTTACACAAAAGACAAAAATTCATAACGGTATATATTTCCATGTTCTAATGGGAAATTCACTCTCGATGTGCACATGTCGAGGGTAGTGGAGTGAGTCCCAGACTCGTCTACTTCCCACGAGGTAAGGAACTTCACGCAGATGTGGAATCAATATGTTTTTTTCAAAAACGAGAAAAAGAAAAAAAAAGAATTTCACACTGCCGATTGCAGCCTTGTCATGGTAGCGGTTGACGCACGTCCTGGTAGCGGTCAACTGTATTATTTTTGTGACATTATTATTAATATTTACTTTTTTTTCCCCTCGCCTTAGGAAAGTTGCACCCCAAAATTTGTTCTGCAAGGTACGTACCTTGTATTTGAATACAAGGTCCCCCGTATCTTCAATTCGTATACAAGGTACGCACCCTGTTTTCGGGTTAAAAAGGTAGGGCAACGAGCAACATTCAATATCCCCTTCACCGTGAGAGGTAGCTATGCCTGCAACGGTCCCCTGTACGGTTCGGGCCGAATGCCTGAGCAGCCCTACGTTCAGACTCCCATGGGCACAAGTTCAGCTCAAATGCAAAGTTTTTTTTTTCAATTTTTTTTTTTTTTTTTTTTTTTTTAAATGTAATGCGGAGGGTGAGTTCTTTACAGTGCATATTTTTTAATTAAAAAAAAGTGGGGAGGCAATTTGCTTGCCGAACAGCAAGAACCCCTCCCGCCTTTTTTTTGTGTGGGAAGGGGGCGACCCCTCCCCCATAAAGCAGTCAATCAATCAAACAATCAAAAAAAAAAAAAGTAAAAAAAAAAGCATGTAGAACGTATGTGTGTGTGTGTGTGCACATACGAAAAAAAGGGGGGGGAGACCCCTCACCCTCCGATCAATCAATCAATCAATCGATCAAAATAATAAAAAAGTTTTTTTTCTTAAATGTGTCGAATGTATGTGTGTGTTTGTGTGTTTGTGTGTTTGTGTGTGTGTGTGTGTGTGTGTGCGGGCACAACAATCAATCAATCAACGAACTAATTTTTTTTTTTAAATCAGCGTATCGAATGCGTACGTATGTATGTGTATGTGCGCAGGTGGGGGGGGGGCGACCCCTCCCCCACCAATCAATCAATCAATAAAAAATAAATAAAAAGTAAAAAAAATATAGCGTGTAGAACTCGTACAAATGTGTGTATTTGTGTATGCGTGTGGGGAGGAGGGGCGATCCAACCTGCAACGAATCAACGGACCAATCAATCAACTGCATTAATTAATTGATTGATTGATCATAATGTTAATCCCCCTCCCCCAAAAAAGGTTTATCGGTTTATTCGACTCCTCTAACTTTATGTCTTAAATGATCTAAAAATTGAAGGATAGGACCTTTATCGTACGAACTATTAGTAGAAAGGGGAAAAAAAAAAAAAAAGGTTTCTAAGAACGTTCGATGGTCCGTCAGGGGGCCTAAGAACGTTCGTCCCAGTAACCCTGGTCTTAGGAGTAGTAGTAGGTACGTAGTGAAATTATAAAATATAATTTGAAAAAATACTAATATACTAGGCTAACAAAGTGACCCGAGACCACTTGCCCGCTCAAGCCAAAAAAAAAAAAAAAAAAGTTAGATTAGCAGTCGGGCTGCCCGGGTTACCTCGTTTTCTGGGCAGGTGGTCTTGGACCACTCTGGTAGCCTAGTAAAAAAATAAAAATTATTTTTTAATTTTATTTATATCTTACATTTGGTAAAAAACTTTGATGTAACCCTGAGATAAAAAAATTCAATTTATATTTTTGCATAACATTTTTTTTTTTTTGATTTTTTTTTTTTTTTTGCATGAACCTTCCCTAGTCCATGCACGGTTGGGCCACCTGGGAAAACAAGGTGACCCGGGCGGCCCGGCTGGTAGTCTAAATAATGTGTAATTTTTAAAAATAAAAATACAAAATAAAATTTAGAAAAACAAATAAACAAAATGAGGCTCGTGATACATAAAAAAAAACCTCTTGTTTTGTGCTACAATTAATGTTCTCTGGGCTGTGGCCAAGCGATAGACTCAGACAGGATGAATTACTGATTCCCCAAATATATTGGTTGCAAGTACAACCTCAATTTTCGGAGTAGTTGTGGAAACTTTCGGTGGCAAAGCATGCTAGCCTAGTATTATGGTTGTTTGCATATCAGGTTGTTCCTACGGCAACCAAGTGTGCTTTGAACTAAAGTTGTTATGAAATGTGCTATATGTTTGAGGACTCACATAAAGGACATACAACATGTTTATCTATTGTATTACCTTTCTATACCCTTTTAGGATTGGTAAAGAAACCCAACAACAGTCACAATAGTTCATACTGATAGACTGATGACTTCGTTTTTCTAGGTGTAACCTAAAAAAAAACACTACAATATGAACTATTGTGAGTCCTCAAAGGAACCCTACGGCAGGTTGCTCCCACTACAAAGGTAGAGGTCTTGCAAAACCGATATTTGAAAACGCAAGAATCATATCGAAAGTTGACCAATGGTTTGAGACGGACACACACAGTCGAAGTTTTGGGCAGGCATAGATCGAAAGGGGAGTTACGAGGGTAAGAGATATATGGGATGGTTTCGCAGAAACTTGGGTAACAGGTGAGGCATTAAGAGGTGGAAGAGAGATTGACAATCATAATTCAAGCAATCCCAGAGGAATGAAAGGTAAACTATCTCCACAAACATTGGATCCCCCCGGGACCTGGTATATCTAGGAGACCTCAAGGGAGAAAAAGTTGTAGGAACTTCAGGAGATTCAAACAGATGGGAAACGAATCTTCCAAGGATGAAAAATAAGTACAAGCGGACAAAAAATGGAAGACAAA